CGGTAGCTTTCGGAAAGGTGAAAAAACATATATTTAATACTTGCGCCGGGTATTTAATGTTCGGCTCCACCCGAACTTAGACTTTCTTACTTGTTGTGATTGGGATAGTGAAAAATATTTTGGGTATTCACACAATTGGGATACGATTTACACTAAATTTTGGCAAATACCCAATCGTGTGACACTGCCTTTAAACTTGTATTTATACGGATGTTGGTAAAGAACAAACTATAAAAAACTAACCNACGATAATTTGTAGATTTTTTTGTAAATTGCATAAATTTTTAAGGCAGTCACTCGATTGGTACATTTGTACAGATTTGTAAATTTTTATATTGGGCTATTAAAAAAATGGGACAATTCAAAAGACTGGTACAATACCGCGATGTTCTATTGAAAAATTTCAATAAATTAATTTTTATACCCGANAAAATTTGCCAGAAACGCTCCCAATCTAAGAATATGAGCACACATAAGGTTAGTTAACAAATAAAGAATAAAAAATGTATATATAATAAGTATTTATTTAAAAGTTTGAACAGTTTTCGCAATTTTTTTTTTTTAGTTTGAGTTTTTTTTGTTTTAATATACATAGCTCNAAAAAATGGGACAATTCAAAAGACTGGTACAATACCGCGATGTTCTATTGAAAAATTTCAATAAATTAATTTTTATACCCGAGCGCACTTGTGCACAAGGGTATATTAATTTTGTTNAGATTTTTTAGAAAGATTTATGAAAGTTTTGTACCCACTCAATTATAATTTAATAAAGTGCAAGTTTTAAGTGGCAAACAATTTTTGTTTTAGAATTTTTTTGCAGAAGGCGTGCGGTTTCCTCCATATAAAAATAAATTGTGTTATTCGTTATATGACAGCAAACGCGCCAAAGAAAANCTTTAACAAACCCCGTATAAATCCAAGTTTTAAACTTTGTGCAATATTAAAAAAAAAACATTCACAAACCTTCGCAAAAATTTGGAGCATTTTAATTAGATTTTTTAGAAAGATTTATGAAAGTTTTGTACCCACTCAATTATAATTTAATTAAGTGCAAGTTTTAAGTGGCAAACAATTTTTGTTTTAGAATTTTTTTGCAGAAGGCGTGCGGTTTCCTCCATATAAAAATAAATTGTGTTATTCGTTATATGACAGCAAACGCGCCAAAGAAAATTGTAACAAATCAGGGCTGCATAATCAGTACTTTTGTTGCAGTTGCATTTCTTATGCAACTTTTTTAACTCATTATAAAATGAGTGAAGCAAAAAAGAAACAAATTAGTTAACACCTAATTCCTCACAAAAAAAAACAGTTCATCCCCCGATTCCCCACGTAAACTGAAATTCCCCACAAAAAATGGTTCTTTCCCNAAAAATCGGACAATAATCGCGCCCACATCCCATATAACGGTAATTTTCGGAAATACGAAAACTGCGATATTTTAGTAANTGGTTCTTTCCCCGATTCCCCACGCAAACTGAAATTCCCCGTAAATCGGAGAATTCCCCACGAGTTGGCTTCCCTGGTACAAACATATACATAGTATGTATATCAGGGCGAGTAAATTTTTGTTGACTATGCGCGTATAGCTTAGGAGGATTCTACATGCAATTCTAATCAAATTTTCTTAAGAAACTATGGGTCTAAAATCAATTTGGAGTTTGCCGAATTGCGAAAATAGGTTTCGAAGAAAATGTGAAAATTTTCACTGTTGCGCCTTCTGGTGGAAGTTTTAAGAAAAAGATAAGTGCAGAAATGGATTTCTCATACCAAAAAACCCCTGTAGCATGTTTTTATACAAAATTTAAGCACTTATTTACGACACTACAGCAAAATGCTAAGAAACCTATTTTCGCAATTTGGCAACTGAAAATTTATTTAAGACCCATTGTTCCTTCAGCAAATTCGCTTAGAATTACACGTATAATCCTTCTGTGCTATACGCGCATAGTCGAAAAATCTCCCATAATGCCCCGCCCTAATGTACATATTTGTAAGTGTTTTTAACACAGAGTAAAGCCAGTATGCGTACAGCAAAGTATTTTTGCGCTTTAAGACGTGTTTGAAGTTCATAATTAAAATAAAAATGTTTGTGTTTTTTGTCCACATACTTGAATGTTTGGTAATTGATTTGGATACAACGGTCAGAGTCGGTGATGAAACTTTATGTGCGAAGAAATTTAAAAACTATTTCGAAGCTAAATTTATGCAAACAAATGTACATACCCGTATGCAAAGGTATGTATGTACGTACTTGCATCTACTCGCACTGACCAATATTTGTGGTATGTGAAACGCGCACTTGAGAATTTGATATTTAGGTTTAGGTCCGCCGAAAAATTGATATAATGATTTTGCAAAAATACAAGAGTGGAAAGGAAAGAAAGAAAAGAAAATGTATACATGCGAGAAAAAGTTAATATTGACTTGCTCAGTCAGTGACTGAAATTGTAAATATTTGCAGGTATGTAATGGGGAGTACAAAAGCAATTGGCGCGGCTTGTAACTATAAGTCAGGCCAAACATTTTAAGCTATGAAGGTCGCTAATCGCTGGTCCGCTACCCAACATATGTGCGTGAAATATGTGTGTGAAATATTTTGGTTATTGTAAGTACTCATATACACACTCACTTTTCGCTGTTCCTCAGTGGAAGATCGACCTATCCGGCAGCAAGTTTGAAAACGCCCTATCTCAGAAAACTTTTCAAGAAGGCCCTACGTCAGAATTTGATTGAAGAATGCCCTATTTCAGAATTTTATTGAAAAACACCCTATCTCAGAATTCGGTTCAAGAACCTACTTCAGCTGAAAATACATTGAAAATGTGCTAAGATAGGGCGTTTTTGAATCGGCAGCTGCTGAGACCAAATTTTGAGATAGGGTGTTTTTCAAGCAAATTAAGAAGTAGAGCGTTCTTGAAAAGTTTTCTGAGATAGGGCGTTCTACAACTTGCTGCCGAGATAGGTCGATCTTCTACTCTGGTATCGATACGTGATGCGGATATTCAAAAAAGGCGGCAAAGAGGCCCGTTTACATAAATTTCTGACTCACCTCGCTCATCATTTTCTACATCAGCAGCGTCTTGGAACTGGCGTAGCGTTAAATTCGCCGCTGATGTCGCCGCCATGCGTGCGCGCTCTGATAAATTGCTTTCCAATGCGTTGTACTCTATGACATCTTCATCGGCGAACAATTTGAGGCTGTAATTTACTTTATCCTCGAAAATGGATTTAATTTTATTCTCCAATTTGCTGGCCGCCTTGTCACTTATCTCACCAGTGTCTGTCAGGAAGTTGTCATTCAAATTACAATTGTCCTTCAGTGAACAAGTCGGATTTGCTGCTGCCTCGGCTGTGTTGAGCGCATGCGCGCTGTTTTCGCTCAATGTGAGTAGCGCGAGCAGCAGGAGGTGCGCTCCCACAAGGTACGGTGCGATTTTGGAACGCATTTTTTTGAATCGCGTTTTTTTTTGGATTTATTATTCACACTTTAACTTTGTTAAGTTTTAATTCTTGATGAGTTTTGACAACTTAAAAGTGTTTTCGTTAATATTCTTTATTACATTGTACTAAAACAATTTGTCGTATAATTTAATCGGATTTTAGTAAGTATTCGTAGATTACTTCAGCCTGATCGCTTTGTTCGTTAATAAGTAACAAATTGGATGCACATGTAACTATGTATGTATGTATCTTATATGCATAAGTTCTTTTTAACAAAACAAAGGCAAATTGTATAAAATATGTGGTAAATTTTTCTGTCTTCTTATTACATATTTACTACCCTCTTTTAAAAATATTAGCGTCTATTTCTTTCACAAATTCGTACGCATATTCTGAAAACTATTATTACAGCCAGTTTCACGCATGTGACACATAATTTTTAGAAGGTAGTTTCACTTCAAATTTTTTTGACATAAACCGTGTCTGTGACAAAAACGCAATGTAGCCACTGCTACGATGTAGATCTTGGGTATTTTCGCTTATTATTGAAGATATTTTTTAACAGAATATGTACATAAGTATTTCTATATTTGGTAACTGATCACTTCATTTTTAATATGTATACATATATGTTTTTAATACATACATACTTGCCACTGCTAGTCGCATGAATAAAAATGGGAAAACGGAAATGCGACGACAATATTTCTTGTTTAAAATGTTTTAGATCCATCGCACACCACGGACTTTATCGGCCGCCGATTTAGTTGGGCTTGCTAGTCTTTCCATTGCTACACAACGAATTAGTCGGAGCGATTAAGTTGGTATAGTATGCGCACCTCCATAGATCTTCACGTACATATTTCAAGAGAGCCCCAACTATTTAAATAGACGGCCGATAAAGTCTGTGCTGAGCGGTGGCTCTTATAGCTGTATCCTTACATCTATTCATCCATCTATACATCCACGGAAAAGCAGTTAATTTTTTCATATTTTTTTATGGAGAAAATTTTAAAATATATTAGAAAATTTCTCACTTACATATATGTATGTTTGGCTTCCCCATGATACAAAAAAGAAGGTAGTTTGATTGTCACTTTTCGGGCGCCATATTAATTACCTGACAATTAAGCAGATTGTGACATTTCGTGCTACCATACCTAATCCTCAATAATCATTTATTTAGTGTAAAAACAAAATATTTAGAAAAGTAAAAGGAAATTGGTCTTCGATCTGAGCAATAACGAAAATTGAAATTCATACATCGCCATATTTGAAAAAGCAACCAACTGACTTTTTCTTTGAAATAAAAGACCGGTAAATATATTGTCCACCGCAAAAATCAGCTATTATTGAATTAGTTTTTCTAAAGCCAGTCACCGAAAAGGATTTGGATG